AGGGTGGCGTATCTGACCAGCATTTATGACGGTGGGGCGATAACCTCAATCTACCCATGTCTGTGTGGCAGAACATTTTGTTTGCTTACGGCTCCTTACGATATAACAGGATGTAACATATCAGTGATATTGATGTTACTTTTCCTAGTTAACCTCGTCTACAACCCATGTCTGCAACCTTGCACTGGTTTTTACTTCCTACCGAGAAATCCTATTACAAGCTGGTCTGGACAGCTATACTAAAAAAGAGCTCATTCATAACTTCTTGAGCCTCAGGGTTAAAAATAAAAAGAATAAATAAAACCAAAAAATTATATCACTGAACCACTTTATTATATTTTGTAAATCAACTTTATTACTAACAACTTGGTTCTTCTGAATTTCCTCTATTCATACGACTAACTTCTGATTAGTTATCTCACTACTGAATTGTCTTCATTAACCTACATAAGTGCAGGTATACAGTTAGTCTTCTGCTATTAAAAAAGTCTGAGTAAACATACCTTCGTTTTATCCATAAATGTGTGTGCGAATCCGTTGTTAGGCTTTGAACAAGAATATTTTCTGTTCTGCTCCTCGTCCCGTTTTCTTTATTTCTCTTTTTTCAGAACCTTATTCCGATCCCTAGATATTAATCTGAGTGCACCTATACCAAGTTTTTAACAGCTAGAGTTACTAGCACCTCTGCCATTATTATATTCTGGTTCAAAGAAATAATTTAATTATATCAATTACAGCACCATGTATTCATATTTTTCAGATTGAGTGAGGTAAACAAGTACATTTAATTACCTTTGGTTTTCAGAAGCTGCACGGAAGCTTATGAAAAGCTTTTATATCAATTAGCTGAACTTAGTGTTAGCTATGAACTTTTAACTTTATTTTAGTCAGTTTCGTCATAGACGAATAGAACGGGAACTCGTTGTTAACTCCCTTAGTAACGACCTTTCATACAGAAAATTTACAAACGGTCTACGCTATGTATATGACTCTAATATCAGGATGTACAAACAAAACTTATTGTTTGTGCGTTTTTACGAAAACAGAAATTTTAACATAAGTAAAATACTCAATTAAAACAAAATGCTGCTGGATTGGTCTAAGCTGATGCTTGTATTACCAAAAGAATAAAGTGATTCGACGCATCAACAAACAAAGCTGCATCAACTCGGTTAGTGACCAACGAAATTCGGGGATAGATATAGAATGTTTTATTACAAGTAACAAAACTCTATTTAGCCGTTGCATGAATAAAATCTAATGGCCAAGTTTAGGATTCAGTAGTCTGTCATGTTTAGGCATTAAACGTCACCGGCGAGACCAGACAATAACTTTACCGCTTTGACATCCCAATAGTAACTTGAGAGTAGGCGATTTATTTTGTCCGAAACATTACCTAGTAAGTGTTATTGTGTTGTATTGTTCCCTAATAAATAAACAAATAAAAAGTAAGCGCTACCACTAGGTCGAAATTATCGGTGTCTTATTTTTAAAAACAACCTAAATGACAATCTGTACTATGTATCCTCATATTTTTTACGAACTCAGAATAGTCTTATTAATAAACATAATAGAACTACAGTACTCACCTGAGACTCCTTCAGAGCTCTACTTATGTGTTGGATGTAGGGCGTTATGGGCGAATCGACCACCGCCTTCGGAGGAATGAATGTGTCAGATATATTTGTTTTTCGTGCATCTTGATGGGCCAAAGCAATCGCCCTACGACATATATCTAAAGCAGTATAGGTGCAGTAGACTTGGTTACCCTACCCAAGAACATGTGAAATCATTAGCTGATCAATATCAACCAGACCTTTGTACACTTACCGCATCAATTCTCGTTATATAAAAACCTATCTCTACCATGGATAATTTCTCAGTCTATAAGTTGATTGTCGTAACGCAACCTTCGTAACTTGCGCCAATTATTCGCATTGTACATTCCATCTTTAAGAATCCAATGAATCTCGCGAAATGTTTCAGTAACTGTATTCCGTTTTAAAAGAAATATGTTGCTAATCTTAAGATTTTGATCTTGCCTGTAAATTGGCATGTCTATTGTAACATGTTTGTTATTTGAGAACAAATTATTATTATTATTATCATTATTATGACAGTTAGGACGCAGATGGACGATCTGGACTTCGCAGATGACTTGGCTCTTCTATCGCACACACAACAACAAATGCAAGAGGAGACGACCAGTGTAGCAGCAGCCTCTGCAGCAGCAGCAGGTCTCAACATACATAAAGGAAAAAGCAAAATTCTACGATGCAACACAACATGCACCAACCAAATCAATCTTGATGGAGATGCCTTGGATGACATTAACACCTTTACATATCTGGGCAGCATCATCGACGAGAAAGGTGGATCCGATGCAGATGTGAGGGCACGGTTCGGCAAAGCAAGAGCTGCATTTCCACAGTTGAAAAATATCTGCTACTCCAAACAACAATCAACCAAAACCAAAATCAGGATTTTCAATACAAATGTCAAAACAGTTCTACTGTGTGGAGCGGAAACTAGACGAACTACCAAAGCCATCATCCAGAAGATACAATTGTTTATTAACAGTTGTCTACGCAAAATACTTCGCATTCGTTGACCAGACACCATCAGCAACAACGAACTGTGGGAGAGAACAAACCAGATTGCAGTGGAGGTGGAAATGAGGAAGAAGCGATGGAAGTGGATAGGACATACACTACGAAAAGCACCTAACTGAGTCACGAGACAAGCTCTCACATGGAACCCTCAAAGGAAAAGAGGAATGCCAAAGAACACATTACGCCGAGAAATAGAGAAAAATATGGGGAGAATGAACAAACATTGGACAGAACTGGAGAGGGAAGCCAAGGACAGAGTTGGTTGGAGCAAACTGTTGGACGGCCAATGCTCCATTGGGGGTAACAGGCGTAAGTAAATAAGTAAGTAATATCCAGCTTCTTACTTCAAATACTACTCTATCTTCTTGACACACTCTACAGCCTTTCCTTATTACTGTACTCATTAATTTGTGAGCTTTATTACTTCAATACACTTAAATTTTAGTGGTCAATATGAATTTTATCTTCACTTACCACTGCACTATCTTCTTCATCATGAAACATAAATCAATGACCTGGTTATACATACAATTACATCGTTGCTGATTTTTCTCTTTCTCCCTTCAGTCATTTCTCAGAACCCTATTCGCAAAGGTATATCCATGGTGCTCCCACGCAAAATGCACCCTCTGTACGCGCACATCTAGATCACAGATTGTACCAAGCACGTTGCATTCGAAACTTTCCAACAAACTCACTCATGAATTATTCAAACCACCCAAGAACTCTACTGTGTACCTCCTTTATCTGCACTCACTGATTAAAAATGTGGTTTATCAAACTGTCCCTGTGAGTGACATTGTGTTGATGTGCTATCAGAAAGAGATTCTTCTTTCAAATCGAACGTCGCCAACTTTCACATTAAATGTGGTAGTATTCGTAACATTTTGACCCATCCTGCAAACTGTCATGTCTCTTGTAACATGCTGTTAGATGAGAATAAATATGAATTATAATGTTATTCGTACCTTATTCGAATAGCGCAGAATTTCTGGGGTAAGTATTGTTACGGGAGAAATGAAGACATTTTGCTGATCAAAACCTTTATATTAATATCATTGATTTCACTGTGTTTTTTGGGTATATTTGTTTTACTTAACTTATGAACTTGTTTGAATTATTATTTTCGGCCATTTTGGGCTCCTGTTTGTCTTGGTTGTTCGTTTGCAGTTTTTTGCTCCAAGAACCTATGAAATAGAAGGTAATTGTAATTATTATAATTATTGTTGTTAGAACGACATTGGTCGTCTATTTGTAATAAACCAAGGATATTTTGGTCGATTATTTGTAAATTGGCAATAAACTTTGGTATCTACTTTGGAGTTTCCTTTTGGTTTAATCCTTGAGATCGTGAATTGCAAATAGATCGACATACAGTGCTTCTGAAGATCAAAGAGCAAAATATTGGACGTAACAAGTATAGTGAGTTAATCGGTTAGTCCTGCAGCATTTTCAAGTATCGCAGGCCGTAAAACTCAAACATTCCAGGAAATAAAAAATGTGGTGTTTTCAACTCCTGGAACCTCAACTAGCATCTCCTCAGTGGGCCTATTACCAGTTGAGTAAACGTCAAATCTAGTACCGTAGATTTATATTTTTCTACAACTTTCTTGATAGATAGCTCAGACGACATTTGCAGAAGATCACTCATGAATCTAAGAAGTGAATCACAAGGTTCATAATTTGTATATCGTGAGATAAAAAGTGACTTACACTGAGTGAATAAATTGAACAGTCAATTATTCAAATATGATCTGAATCAATCTATCAGTGGTGAACAGGTAATGAATATCATGGGTTTAATTAGAAGCCATAATTAACTGACTGTTTCAAAACTGAGAAACCACAACGTATTCCATCCACCTGCCCCTTAAAATTAAGGATGTTTGTTTATCCACTTCAAATATCCAGTATATGTGATAAATGAAAAAGCTTCTTCATAAATGCAGCTCATTTAAGCGAAAAGGAATTCATTGATGTTCATATAGAATGTTGTAAACTACGGAATCCATAAAATTTGAAGTAATGGAAGGGTCATCGGCTTACAGTTTGGAGGATAGGTGAGGACTGGAAGAATGTGTCTCTTCTTCCGCTTTCCTGCACACATTAATTGATTGCTGAAGTGTGTCAACAACAAGCAAAGTGATTTTACCAGAAATCAGGCCTAATCTCTTTGAATTAAACTATGTCCGTTCCTAATGCGCTCTTGTTAAGAAACTGCGATTTCGGATTAGGCACCTCAATGTTTTGATTCCCTTCCGATTAATCGTAGCATAAATAAAAAATTCATTTCCTACCATTCTACTATGTGTCCAGTAAAAAACACAGATTGAAAATTTAATTTTTTTTGAATAAACCAAATTTTGGTTTCTAATACCACCAGCACGGTTTTAAATAGTATCAAGGTCACTTGATGGACCTGCTTGCTAATTTTAATAACTTGGAAGAATGTTTAATATCAGATGATCTCTTTGAAAACTACTTCAATTTTTTCTTATCACTACCAGTAAGAGATACTATTTCAAATGGAAACAATATCTTTTTGAAAGGTGTTTTCGCTTAAGTTACAATACAACCGACTGATTGGTGATTTCAACTTCACGGATTCGCATGAACTTGATATTAAAGAGTCATCAAACTTAGGCTTGTCAGATGAAAATCAAGAACGTGTTATTAAGTGGGCTGAGTCCGAACGTCTACCATACTTTTTGAGGTAACCTGCCTCTTAATAAAGATATTTTCAATAATTTTCTGCAAACAGAAGTGATATTTATCGAGAACTGCTATTATGCAAGCTGTTGTTAGCGCCTCTTGAACTGAATTCCGAACTTATCGATTACTGGGAGCCGTTTAGTGATGATTTAGCTAGCTCCTTAGTTGATCCTACTGGAATCAGTAGGCATACTTACACTTCTTGGACGTCGGATCTCACCACTTATGATGATGCAACAGAAGAGAGCTACGATGAAAGTTCTAGAAAAGTTAGTTGGTTTGTTTGATTTTAGTGTATAAATCAGGAAAGCACTGAGATTTTCAATGAGCTGCACTTATGATTCACACTATTGAACGTTCACGGATATATAACAATCTAAATTCTATGAAAACGGTTTTAACTCACGATTTTACCTATGATAAACAGTCTATAGAAATTAACTCCATCAATCATGTTTCATTGATTTCGGTATTGTGACAGTTTTCTTTCACTATGAGTGTACATTCATAGATGATCTCATGAGTAGAAGTAGTGGAGGACTCAACTATCTCAAACTTCGTTCGCAAGAAAATAGACAACCCTACATTATTTTAGTGCTTCTTCATAACATTTCACGATTCAGTCAGTTTTTAATGGCAATCGCTATCGAACATGGCATTTATAAAGTCTAACTCAAAATAAACAGTTATCAAACTGCATTATTCGGATATTTGAGCTAAGAGAAGTTTGAACATGTTTTAATTGATGGTAAAGTGTTGTGCATACTAAAATCATTAGTATCTAAAATGTGCATCACGTATTTTCAAACATTCACCAGAAATTTTGTGAATGATTGTACGTTATTCTCTCGATAATATCTTACTTTTGTGGAATGTAAGATCTTCACATTATGGAAAAGAATGCTACCATTTAATGATTTTAATGAAGTTTCACTTCCCTCTCCATTTCATTTAATGTTGTTACAGCAGTGAAACTAACAGCAATTCCAACTGCCTTGACGAAATGTTCCCTTGACGATTAGAATAAATGTGGGTTGAAACAGCAAATAGATTTTTTCACACCTTACCATTTAACTGGACAATGAAATGAGAATCTGTATAAGTTACTAATACCAAAGGGATCCCTTTCTATCTGAACAATGTTTTCTTGGACTAATAAAGTCAATGCTTAGTAAAATCCGAAACAACACTTTGACTCACTTACAAAAAATAATTAATGATAACAAGTGCTCAATATTTGCCAAAAAATAGACCATAATAATTTTAATGTATTCCCTGCCAAACTTCACATGATATTGGCCATAAAGTTTAGTCTGAAGTATGAAATATCTTATGAATGTTTGGCTATTAGACATATTTGTCCATTTATCTTTAGTCAAAAATGAGTGTCAAATATTTTACTTTCTCAACCCTAAAGGATCAAACTTTCAAGGAAAAATATGCGTAATAAAGGAAGAATTAAAACACAAACACTTAGACAAAAATCACAATCAGGAGTTGTGAATAGTCCATCATGTTTGGTGAAATAGGCATAAAGTCTACATTTCATATTATATCGTTTCACTAGTTTCATATTGCATCCAGTATAAACCAAACAAATGAACAAATCTTGCCAATAAGATATGAACGATTTACTAAAAAATGTTGTATCAATGAACACTCAGAAATGTCCATAGGTTTGTAGTGCCTCCACATAAACTTGAGTTCGCTTATATTTAATTTGATTACGCCTTTCGATTAACTTATGTAACCACGCTATTTGTATAGCAACAACCCATATGTACCATTGGTATTTCACGACCGAAACTCGTACGAGAGCAACTGTGGGAACCTGTATGGTCTCTTTGACGAAGAGATAAATATTGACTTGGTGGGCGATGACAATAAACATCAGGATCTATCTCTCCACAACGGATCTTAGATAAAGGTATGTTTGGTCCAGAAGGCGATATAGATTTGGAGTAGGATGATGAACCCCTATAATATTCACGACGACGGTTGTGAAGATGAGGTGGAGGTGGACTATATGAACAGCTACGGCTAGGACTGCGTGAGTAGTGACGATCATGCCCTCCAGCTTTTGGACGTGACCCAATTCCTCGTAGAAACGCATCAACTTTCTCTTCGCATCTGAGATCGTTTTCATGACTTTGGGAAACTTGTGAATAAGCACTTGGATTGGCGACGCGACTTCCCAATCCACCATATATATTCGATCGCATACCTTAGCTAACTTGTTCAACAAAGTCGTCATAATCCCAAGTCATTAATAAATTACGGTCAATGGGAAGAGGACTGGATCGACTACGAGATGTGTCCACGAGGTCTTTCATAATCTCCATGTCTTGAAGTTAATTCACGCCACCTTGACGACCAAACCAAGAGTTTCGGTGTGAAATACCAATGGTACATATGGGTTGTTGCTATACAAATAGCGTGGTTACATAAGTTAATCGAAAGGCGTAATCAAATTAAATATGAGCGAACTCAAGCTTATGTGGAGGCACTACAGGTTTATCTTTCAACGAATCTTTAAATTCGTAGTTGTTGAATTTATTTAGCATTTTTATGTTGATTAGTTTAGCCATAAACTTTTACAGAAATACTTGATCAGTGAAACATAACAGCTGAGGAATATATAAGGGATTCTTCTGGATTATAGATGAACTCTAAAGCTTCATGATCTGCAATAGTAGTGATTCGCTTTCCACGTAATTACGCATAAAATCATTTAACGACCCAGAGTATACAGCTAGAGCTTTTCGCTGAGTTGAGAATAACCCTATTACGTAACCATAATTTGTGTGAAAAACAGGCTATTAGTCTACTTTCTGATAATTTAGGATTGCTCCAAAACTGACGGAAAATACATCCATAATAAGCATAGAATATATATATATATATATAAATATATATATCATGAAATCGAGTTTAAAAACATACATCACTTGGAAGAGAATTCAGTAAACTTATTCATTGCAACTCTTGTTCTGTACACCACTGAAATCAATTGTATGTCAACATTTAAAATAGACTACCAAAATGTTAAGAAAAATTGGAAATAAGTTTAGAATGTCTTTAAACACCACCTAACAAATGTGTGTCTGGATGGTGTTTTCGAAGACGGTGTATTTGTGAATTAAGGCTTATGTTCCAGATGAAAAACTTAGGAGAGCCGAAAAGTAACGTATAAATTTTTGTCGAAAGTTTCAGTCAAGATAAAGATTATTGAAGAATTTGCTGAGAATTTACTTCTTTACTTATAAGTGTAACAACAGATTTTATCCAGTCGGTCGGTGCTGTTAGTGTCTAACCAACGGATCTTTAGTATCTTGTGTAGTTAAGTGTTATTAAATACTCATATCATATGGATAATAGTTCTGGTAGTATTCCAAATTTCCGTCCTATACAATAGAACTGTCTTGACATTATTTGCATAGCAAATTGTGACTTTGATGTTGATTGATAGTTGTTTTGAGGAGTTCAAGATGTTGTTCAATTGTAGAAATTTAGCCCTTGCTTTGCCGACCCATGCCTTGACATTTGCGTCAGATCCACCTTGTTCGTCAATGATGCTACCAGTGAAAATCGACTAGCCACAAAATTTCACTTAAGTGTTTATGAGTTTTAAGAACTACAAAACCAATACTATATGATACGAAAAATGTGGTATCAGTCTTTTGTTTTGTTTAAAATGAGTGAAACCTATTGAATGTCTAACATATATATTTTAATTATCATGAACTTTTAATTTGATTCATGAGTATACATTGTTGTTTTGGCTTTTGTTTTTCGCATAAAAATCATTTTCATGCATCCTCATTGTGCTTTTTTTGTTATAGAATAGTAAATCTACTTCATCATTTAGTAATCAATCAAGTTATGAAACTTCGAATGCAATCAGTGAATCTGTTAGTCATGAATCTGTCGGTATGTGCTTTTATTTTTTTGTCTCTTCATGAATAGATCACCGTTTATCATGTTCGTCACTAAGTATGCTTGAGGCTATTACGAGTTTACCTTAGTCGATAAACGCAAACGAGACTTTTACTAGCGTCCAGGTAGGATACCTTGAATCCCAAACTAAAGTAAGAAGGCTTTGTAGGCGTAGAAAGTATATTCTACAAACACCCAGCAATCACAACACAATACAATCAAGCACACAACTCTCGTTTATTTATACATCATAGAAACGTCCTTGGGACAGTTAAGAAAATAGCACACTAATAAAATATACAGCAGCCAATCACAGCTATAGATTTTCCTGATGGGAAACGGAATCTCAAGGTCAACTGATTGGCCCATGGTGGCAAACGTGAAATCCAAGATAAGGCATTTAGAGTGTCTCAGTGTAAACATCAACACTGAGATTTATTGATATCTAGTTAGGAAGTCTAAAGTAATAAGAGGAGGACACATTCTCTCTCGACTTCATTATAGATCGCTGTGAGGTGCAAAGATTGTTGAGTTTTATTGAAATGAAGGAATCGATCAACGTTAGTTTCATGAGGAATTTATCAGATTCTTAGCTAGAAGAAGCTATGACCGTTTGAGTTCAGCTGTGGCAGATGTCAGGAAGAGTTATTCACTGAAGACAATAACGGATTTACTTACTTACTTACGCCTGTTACCACCCCCAATGAAGCATAGGCCACCCACCAGTTTTCTCCAACCAACTCTGTCCTGGGCTTCCCTCTCCAGTTCTGTCCAATGTTTGTTCATTCCTCTCATGTCGTTCTCTATTTCTCGGCGTAATGTGTTCCTTGGCCTTCCTCTTTTCCTTTTGCCTTCAGGGTTCCATGTGAGGGCTTGTCTCGTGACGCAGTTGGGTGCTTTCCGCAATGTGTGTCCTATCCACTTCCACCGCTTCTTCCTGATTTCCTCCTCCACTGCAATCTGGTTTGTTCTCTCCCACAGTTCGTTGTTGCTGATGGTGTCTGGTCAACGAATCCGAAGTATTTTGCATAGACAACTGTTAATAAACACTTGTATCTTCTGGATGATGCCTTTCATAGTTCTTCAAGTTTCCGCTCCATACAGTAGAACTGTTTTGACATTTGTATTGAAAATCCTGATTCTGGTGTTGGTTAAAAGTTGTTTGGAGTAGCAGATATTTTTCAACTGTAGAAATGCAGCCCTCGCTTTGCCACTCCGCTTACTCACATCTACAACGGATCCACCTTTCTCGTCGATGATGCTGCCCAGATATGTAAAGATGTCAACCTCCTCCAAGGCATCTCGATCAAGAGTGATTTGTTTGATGCATGTTGTGTTGCATCGAAGAATTTTACTGTTTCCTTTATCTATGTTGAGATCTGCTACACTGGTCGTCTTCTCTTGCATTTGTTGCTGCGTGTGCGATAGAAGAGCCAGGTCCAGATCGTCCAGCTGCGTCCTAACTGTCCAGTTGATACCGTGCTTCCCTCCAGATGTTGCGCCTACGTGGTGCAATGGAAAACTCCGCCAGTAGAACCTTCGGGGCTACTGCCGCTCCCAAGCCCGGGTAAAGGAGGAGGGTTGGACATGGAGTTGGCGACCCCATTCCGTCGAAATCTAACTTGCCAAAAAAAAGCTAACCAGTAACAATAACGGATGGTTACACCATATAGTAAATTGATCGAAATTAAGATATTAACACCGTTGGATGCTGGCTTTGGTGGTCAACAGGTGGAGTATTCACGCGAGAAACCAGGCGTCTCAAATGTGATTATTTCTTGTGCAGTCGTGGATATGTATCATTGATGAGTTCGAAACTAGGACTTAACAGTCATCTAGTTCTTCCAGTGGTAGTTTAACACTGATAACGGGAGACAAGGAAGGAGACTTCTTCTTTCGTCTAAGAGTTAAATCTGGCATATCAAATTCATTGGTAATTTTACCTTCAAAAGCACTGTTTGTGATTCACTCCCTAGGTGTAAAATATTGCTTCAGGATTGGCTTGTGTTGGCATCCGAACTAGTGATAGGGAGTGAAGTAGTTGGGCGTGTTGACCACTTCACTTATCTTCGGAATATCATCAGCCCTGATAGCCTGATTTCGGATCAAATCTCGGTACAGATATAGAAGTTTTAACTTGTTTTTTGCCAACTTACGTCACTGATGGCGTAGGCGAGATAACCATCTATTAACTGAAGAATGAGACTACTGCGCATCAGTTTGCTACATCCAACTATACGGTGTGAAATATGGCCAGTAGGAGTAGAGATTATTGGTAGGTTACTAGTATAAGATCATAGGTGTCTTCGAAGCATTACCTGTTTGTCCTAGGACAACTGAGGAAGCAATGATGGTGTTAGGAAACGATTATAAGGTGAGGATAGAAAATCAATTGATGAAGTGGTGAAACTTCATCAGTTGAGGTGGTTGGGACATGTGTTGCGTATGCCTAACCACTGACTGCCTCGAAGAGCTTCGTTTTGTACTGTAGGAGTAGGTTGGAAGAAAGCTGAGGGTGACTGAACGAAAACGTGGCACAAATCCATGAAATCATTGACGAATGGACTTAGCCATGTTGGTAAGTGTAGACTACCTGGTTGGGGTCCGTAAGTTGATAGTAACCGATGGTTAGAGACCTTGAATAATATGGCTCAAAATTGTTTGCAGTGGCTCAGAAGCAACCACTCTTTGTCTTCTCCGAAATTCTAGTCTTCTGAATTTCCCATAACCTCTTTTTCTCTATTTAAATTCACATCACTAGATTATACTTTTCAAATCATATCTTCGAAATTTTATCTCTCCGATTACTGTTAATACTTCTACTGACTCAACTTCTATAGGATTTGAGGTGACAATTGCGTCTCTGTGCTAAAATGGTATAACAACCTGAAGTGATGTACGTACGTACTAAGTTCTGCGTTTTAACTGACTGACTGACTGGCTGATGATATTTACTGCTTTCATCAAGGAGTTGAGGTTTAGGACAAAGCATCTTTATCTTCTATACTATGACGTCATGTTTAAGGTAACTATTATATCTTCGCTTTTTCTATCCAGCCCATCATGCATCATCCTGGAATTCAAACTTACAGGAAACAATATTTCTCGGAAAAACGATACAACAAAGTCAAAACCACTGCTTCAGAATCATGATATTAACCAACTTATCATCACTAATGACAGACATGAACGTCTGAACAACCAGTTTACTTGATAATTTTGTTACCAATAAGAGTGTAGAATTCCTTCAAAGATGACTGTTATAAGACAAAGAGATTTCCTGAACAATATCTTATCTCAGGCATAAATTTTTATACAAAATAGATCATAGCTGTTCCAACCAAGACATTTGCGCATTCCTGATCTGTCATTTGTCACACTGTAATCTTGCTGATACCAAAAAAAATAGCCGAAACATGTTTTAGAAGATGAATACAAAGCGTTGAAGGTGTTTATAAACTGCACCATAAACAGATCACAAAACCAAGGAATTGGTGAGTGAGCCCAACGACGAACATAACGCAGTGACATTCATCACAGACTAGTTTTATAGTGAACGAGAACACAGGTGGGGCAACCGAATTGTATTTAACGAAAATTACAGAGTTAATCAGTAAAATAGGAAAACCATATCGTAAATCGTTCATTTGCAAAATATCAGTTCATCATATCGAACTGGACTGTTCCTTTTGCAAAACATCAATCCATTGTCACTATTCATGCGTTTCATACAAATTCCATTGTGTTCCAACTTTTCCTTTCATGATCTTCTCCCATCTTCTGGTGCCAGACATTACGTTGACGCTCACGTCATATACTACTTATAAGTAGCTCACACCATAGTTTAACTGATCCCTATATCAACTAATATGTCCTAATTATAATAAATATCAATTTCTTTTTAGATAAATTAAAATCGGATCGAAGAAAAAGTCGTGAATACTCAAAGTATTTTAAAACTAGGTAAGTGTAATTTGAATGAGATAAGTGAGTGTGATAGATGGATGAAACAATGCACAGATAATAATGAAGAAATAAGTTATTAATTTTTGGTTGAAAACATGTGAATTATTAAAATGCAACAACGCTGAATTTCATTCAAATCATGAACCAATCCACATTAGATCACCATTTAAAACTTAGAAGCATTTAAAAACTTGTGGTGCGAGCTACTTATAAGTAGTATATGACGTGAGTGTCAACGTAATGTCTGGCACCAGAAGATGGGGGAAGATCAAGAAAGGTACAGTTAGAACACAATGGAATTTGTATGAAACGCATGAATAGTGACAATGGATTGATGTTTTTGCAACAGGAACAGTCCAGTTTGATAATATGATGAACTGATATTTTGCAAATTAACACGATTTACGATATGGTTTTCCTATTTTACTGAGTAACTCTGTAATTTTCGTTAAATACAATTCGGTTGCCCCACTTGTGATCACGTTCACTACAATCTGTTCCGAACTTAGTACAGGACTCATTAGAAGTGCGCATCTACAATCTTCTCACGAAGGATGCGAACTCAGCACTTTTGGCCTCATGTGCCAACGCTTATCCTTCCAACCACTGAGTTGGCATCCAGCGTGGTCAATTTCTAACCTGTAGTATGATCTGCAGTGATCTCGCCTCTGAACGGTTCAACTCCTTTATATCACAGCTTCTCCTCACAACTCTGAAAATTCCTTTACCAAGCCAGCCAGTCAGTGGTGAACGCATGATAATGATTAGGAAAAATCATCAGCTACTATACCATAAGATAGTAGTTCCATTTATCGTACTTTAAAATTATGGAACATCCTCTTTGAAAAAGTTGAAAATATAAATAGAGTCTTAGCTAACTGACTGTATATATATAGAGAGAGAAATCTCTTAATGAATAAGTTGTTGACGTTTTCACTCTACTTTAAGCCTTTCCACGATTATTACTGGTTCCAAGCTCGGATAAAGCAGGAGGCTTGGTCGTGGAATTAATGACTCCTACCTGCGGAAAGCCAACTTTCTAAATAAACTTCAAGTAAAAATGGTTAAATTGCTTATAACTGTGGTATAACATCTCAACTCGTGTACTGACCAAATTGCTACATTACGGATCATTGTGGAACAATCAATTGAATGGAACTTACCACTCTACATCAACTTCAGTGACTAAGAGAAAGCATTCGATAGCGTGCGTGGATAGGAAAACACTGTGGAGGCTTCTTCGACACTACGGTGTGCCTGAGAAAATAGTTAACATCATACGGAATTCTTATGATGGATTCAACTGCAAAATCGTACACGAAGGACAGCTGACAGACTCTTTCGAGGTGAAGACCGGTGTCAGGCAAGATTGCTTACTCTCACCGTTTCTCTTTCTCCTGGTCATCGACTTGATTATGAAAATGTCAACATCTGGAGGGAAGCACGGTATCAACTGGACAGTGAGGACGCAGCTGGACGATCTGGACTTCGCAGATGATCTGGCTCTTCTATCGCACACGCAACAACAAATGCAAGAGTAGACGACCAGTGTAGCAGCAGCCTATGCGGCAGCAGGTCTCAACATCATAAAGAAAACAGCAAAATTCTCCGAGGCAACACAACATGCACCAACCAAATCACTATTGATGGAGATGCTTTGGAGTACGTTAACATCTTTACATATCTAGGCAGCATCATCGACAATCAAGGTGGATCCGATGCAGATGTGAGTGCACGGATCGGCAAAACAAGGGCTGCATTTCTACAGTTGAAAAATATCTGCTACTCAAAACAACAATCAACCAAAACCAAAATCAGGATTTTCAATACAAATGTGAAGACAGTTCTACTGTGTGGAGCGGAAACTAGACGAACTACGAAAGGCATCATCCAGAAGATACAAGTGTTTATTAACAGTTGTCTACGCACAATACTTCAGATTCGTTGGCCAGACAGCATCAGCAACAACGAACTGTGGGAGAGAACAAACCAGATTGCAGTGGAGGAGGAAATCAGGAAGAAGCGGCGGAAGTGGATAGAACCTACACTACGAAAAGCACCTAACTGCGTCACAAGACAAGTTCTCACATGGAACCCTCAGGGCAAATGGAAAAGAGGAAGGCCAAGGAACACATTACGCAGAGAAATAGAAAAAGATATGAGAGGAATGAACAAACATCGGACAGAACTGGAGAGGGAAACCCAGGACAGAGTTGGTTGGAGAAAACTGGTCGGTGGCCTATGCTTCATTGGGGGTGGTAACAGGTGTAAGTAAGCAAGTAAGTAATAACTCCTCAACACTGATAACTACACACAAGTGTTATGCTTTCTAACGATAATAGGCTGAGAGAAGATTAAAACTTTGACCCTTGTAATACTTTCCAGTTCATACCTATTATTTGTTATTTTTAATAATTTTTCCTTACTATATTTTAACTTGTACCGTTTTGAAATTTTGTAGTCTTGTGTGATTCATATCAGTTATAATTCTCAGCCTAATAATAACAGACTTCCGAAGAAACTCGGCTTTCATCATGAAGTGTCATAACTCTTCTAAACAAAACCTTTCATCTGTCATAACAGAGTTTAATTGGTTGTAATTATTTGTTCTAGTTTCGCGTATTTTTAGCTATTTAGTTTTATGCGGGATGAGGTCGTTAACCTCATGCACAACCCTCCGAATATATCCATGCCTAGGATTGACAGTAACCCTGAAAGGGCTGACAAATAACCCATATGATAACTTTTAAATCAAACATATTTTTTTTACTTTATAAGTAAATGTGTAGTGAAGGAGAACACAGGTGGGGCAACCGAATTTTGTTTAACGAAAATTATAGAGTTACTCAGTAAAATAGGAAAACCATATCGTAAATCATTAATTTGCAAAATATCAGTTCATTATATCGAACTGAACTGTCTGTTCCTGTTGCAAAACATCAATCCATTGTCACTATTCATGCATTTCATACAAATTCCATTGTGTTCTAACTCTTCCTTTCTTGATCTTCCCCCATCTTCTGCTGCCAGACATTATGTTGACACTCACGTCATATACTACTTATAAGTAGCTCGCACCACAAATGATTCCTTAAATTTTATAATTTTTTTTTCTCTTCTAAATCAGGCGAATAACTATGTTTGAAGGTAATTTCCCAAATCGGAATGATAACAATCGTCCAAGTCCATTAACTGAACAAACTAGTCATGATGATGATGAAATTCAGCATACAAATGATAATAATAATATAACTAAAAAATATCGACGTCAATCAGAACCAATTAATAAATCATTAAATTATTATCAATATTATTATTATTATCATTATTCAAAAGAAGATACATTAAAAATTATTGAACAAGTACAAAATAGTTTAAAACAATTAGAAGAGAAAAATTTAAATTCATCAAGTAATAAGCTAAATTTAACGCATACTATTGATAAATCAAACTCTTTCACATTTAATATTGACAATACTACTGCTGATAGTAATAATTCAAAAAGTATTTTAAATGATGAATTTGATATTAAGAATGTTTTTCATCAAATTCAAGCAATGGAAGAACGACAAAATATTCCAATGCAACAATTAAAAGAGTTATTATTATCATCGGTAAGTTTTGTTTTAATGATGAGTAATATTTTTTGCGGTTCTAGTGTCTTGTTTTAATCAATTGAAGTCTTTATTCTGTGTCGCTAAGAATTGATCAATAATATCACGTGACACTTAAAACACACCAATCAGAATTACGCCCTAGCACTAGAAACCTTGAGTTAGTTCTAAATTCTTATTGGTCGACACACAGCTCGATAGCTTCTTTCTCTTATTTGACCTACCTACCTCTTTTTAGTTCAAAAGTCTGTCATCGGCAACCTCCAGGAAATTCGTTGTTATTCAAACAGACAATTTGTATGCCAAACATATCTGACTACGTCACATTGCATAGAAGGAAGAAAATAGAATTTATATACGAATGAGCAAGCTAAAAGTGACTTCAGACAGTCTTCAAGAACATAGAACTTCGTATATGAGTACGTAAGTTCATGTTGCCTTACAGCATCAGAATCGAGACTGACAGTTCACATCACATAGTAGTAGAGGTAGTAGAAGTATTACTAGTAATTGGAGAGATTAGGTTTCGACTACATTATTCCAGAAGTAGAATCTCGGGCTAGGGATCCTGATCCGGGTCATTAAACGTTACAGATAATGCATATTTATACAGTTACGTCGAACAGAAAACAACATTGAAGTCTGTGACACTGATAGTCAGGACGACCAATGGGAAACAACATTGAAGTACGTGAAATTGATATCAAGGACGACCATAACATTGACAAGTAGGAATTAACCAATAGGAATTAGCCAATAATTCTCTTAGGATATTGGATGAATATCCTAACAGAAACGTTCACTCTTTAACCTTATTGAATGGTTATAAATGACTGATAATAACAACTACTTTACCTAGCTAGATCTTGTGTAGTCTGTGATCTGTTTGAAGTGTGATTGGAGCTGACGCTTTCTATAAAATTCGGATCTATATCACTTCAAAGACACTAAAACATGGGACATACAATGTCAAAGCATTCAAAACTTGGTCAGTTAAATTTAATCAGCGTTAATCATACTAAATACAATTTGAATTTTTAATCACTGTAATTTTTTGTCAGAAAAATTCAATTCTATTTGTCAATATATTACAAATTTGCATTATACAGTGTTAGATCACCATTAGAAGAAACCTGAAGGCACTGGACACGGCCGTTTCCTGCTGGTATGTGTTAGACTCGTCTCTAGGTATGCTTAAACTATTACGAGTTCACCTTAGTCGATAAACGAGATCAAAACAATGAATCAGCGTCGAGGTAGGCTACTGTGATACCTTGATCAAATTGAATCAGCAGGAAGTCTTGATATAGTGTAGAAATTGTATTCTACAAACACCCAGCCAGCACACAATGAATACAAGCACTCAAATTGCATTTATTTATACTCTATAAAGAGACATCCTTGGGACAGTCACAAAAATAGCACTTTAAAATGACACATCAACCAGTCACAGTCAAGGATCTCCCTGGTTGGGAAATGTGGTCTCAAGGTCAACTGATCGGTCCATGAAATAAATTCAAAATAACGATATTTGTCAAGCGAGTTCTGGGGATCTAACATCTCCAACAGTATGAAACTCATCACAGATGTACACTGCTAATGAATCCTATACCAGGAGGAAACGGCCACTCCCATTGAGTGATTCTAGGTTTCTAATAGTGATCTTACATTATTGAGAGATGCATGATTTCACAGTACCAGTTGATGAATTTTCTAAAAAATCTCATATTTATTTTATATAATTCATTGATCAGACAATCATAAATTGTGCATTTTTCTCTTGTCAATTTTTTTTTCTTAAACTCAAGCGAGATGGAATGAAAGATTTTATGGCTTTTTTAGTTACAACCAATGGAATACATCTTGTTGATTTTTGGTTAGATTGTGAAGCGATTAAAATGATCTCATCTATGAAAGATTCATCAACTGTTGATAATATCAAATTGAAATTTGATTTATTACGGTAATTTATAAAATTGTTTATACATATATATATATATATATATATATATATATATATATATATATATATATTACTTACTAACTTACTTACTTACGACTGTTACCCCCAATGGAGCATAGGCCACCGACCAGCTTTCTCCAACCAACTCTGTCCTGGGCTTCCCTCTCCAGTTCTGTCCAATGTTTGTTCATTCCTCTCATATCTTTCTCTATTTCTCGACGGAATGTGTTCCTTGGCCTTCTCTCTTTTCCTTTTGCCTTCAGGGTTCCATGTGAGGGCTTGTCTCGTGACGCAGTTAGGTGCATTTCTCAGTGTGTGTCCTATCCACTTCCACCACTTCTTCCTCATTTCCTCCTGCACTCGAATCTGGTTTGTTCTCTCCCACAGCTCGTTGTTGCTGATGGTGTCTGGCCAACGAATCTGAAGTATTTTTCGTAGACAACTGTTAATGAACACTCGTATCTTATGGATGATGGCTTTCGTAGTTCCCCATGTTTCCGCTCCATACAGTAGAACTGTCTTGACATTCGTATTTAAAATTCCGACTTTGGTGTTGTTTTGTAGTTGTCTTTAGTGTTGCAGATGTTGTTCAATTGTTCCATGCCTTCACAGTTGCATCAGATCCACCTTGCTCATCAATGATTCTGTCCAGATATGAAAAGGTATTTACGTCCTCCAAAGCAACTCCATCAAGAGTGATTTGGTTGGCACACGTTGTGTTGTATTGAAGAATCTTGCTTTTTCAACTCTGTGTATTTTGATACCTACTGCTACTGAGGCTGCTGCTACACTGGTCGTATTCGCTTGCATTTTTTGTTGCCTGTGTGACAGAAGAGCAAGAACATCTGCAAAGTCCAGATCATCCAACTGCATCCTGGCTGTCCACTGTATACCGTACTTCCTTACAGCTGTTGACGTCTTCATAATCCAGACGATCACCATGAGGATGAAATCAAAAATTGAGATGGTGGAGAAAACTTGTAGCTCAGGTGGATGATAGTGGTGGTGTTTCGTCCTCTAAGCATTCACTTCACTTCTATCTGAAGTTTGTGCTGATGATGTTGTTCAGAAGAACAATGAAAACTCCACAACCAAAACAACCAGCTCAGAGAACAAAACACCACCACGAAATCAAAAAATATTTAGTATAATCAATCAAAAAGCAAGTCTAATCAACACAATATCATGTCACTCTGATCAATCAAGATGATTTAACAGGATATATATATATCAGTCTATTTGTTTATGTGTGTACATGTTAATCGATGTGAAAAATGTAACAGAATTGAATTTGTGTGACATGTGAAAATAGTCAAATATGCTAGCTTGAATAGATGAATAATTCATGCTGAGATGGATGATCAAACCTTCTTTTCTGTTGAAGGTAGTAGTATGCTTTTGTGAAACTTCGGCTATTCAATTTTGTGTCTGCAGCTGGAAAAGACTTCTTCAAGAAGGACAGGATACAGGATGAGATTTCGTTGTCTGAGCTGGATGTTTTGGTTGTGGGGTTTTCACTGTTCTTCTGAACAACCGTTAGAAGTTAGAAGTGATGTATTCAAATTTCTTCACTTCCGACTCATAGCTTGTCCTTGTCTGCCTCTTTATTTTGATTGTACCCCACTTTGTTATGTTTCTTGATCGTATGCTTTTCTATGATTTTTCGGAAAGTCGATCATTGTCAATGTGTTTGTTGATTGTTGACTGTCCTGGGTGCCAGGCTTCTAAAAATTCTGTATCTTTCTTCCTATCTCCTATATCTAGTATTTCAACACTGTTCCAATCGAACACAGATTCACTGTTGTGTCCGCGTGTCAGTACAGTACTAACTCCGAAGTGTAGGTACATCTGTGGTGCGAGCTACTTATAAGTAGTATATGACGTGAGTGTCAACGTAATGTCTGGCACCAGAAGATGGGGGAAAAACCAAGAAAGGAACAGTTAGAAAACAATGGAATTTGTATGAAACTCATGAATAGTGACAATCGATTGATATTGTTTGCAACAGGAACAGTCCAGTTCGATATGATGGACTGATATTTTGCAAATGAACGATTTACGATATGGTTTTCCTATTTCACTGAGTAACTCTGTAATTTTCGTTAAATACAATTCGGTTGCCCTACCTGTGTTCTCGTTTACTACACATCCAAATAGTAACGATTTCCAAATAGGATGAGTTGCGTGACTTTGATATAACACATTCTTACTTACTTACGCCTGTTACCCTGAAGGAGCATAGGCAGCCGACCAGTATAAAAACTTCTTACTCCTGATGTGGAGTTTAATTGGTTTAAACTATTTGTTCTAGTAAGTGTACTTTTTTTATCAAGTTGGTTTTTTTAAAGGATGGAATCTCTAACCCAATGCTCAACCCTCCTCCCTCATTCGAGCATGGGATCAGTAGTAATCCTAGAAAGGCTTCAGGGTGGAGTTTTGATATAACACTGCTAGCCACTCTACATCTCCTGCAATAATTAGTGTTCGTCACCTGACAATTATGTTTAATTCATATAAGTGAAATATTCGTTAAACAACTCAACTATCCTATATTTTCTCTGTATTAAGTAGTCAATTTTCTACAATCCCATGAACTACTACTGATCCAATCTATTTCGATTTCAAACAATAACTTTTTATCATTCATTTTATTCATAGAGATCTTGAAGATCAATACCTACTTCGATTGACATCGAAAGCACGTGAAAAATTATTCACTACAATTAATACCATTTCAGAATATTTTGTGACAAAATGTAGTAATAGTAGTAATAGTAGTAGTAGTAAGAATGAGAAAAATAATCAACATATTAATTCAGATGAAACATATCTATGTCAACTTGGTGATATTATGTTTGATTGTGTCCAATATGATTGTTTACGTCGTTTGCGTTACTATTGGTTACCAAGATGGTTATTACACTGGGAAAGAATCATTAGAGATTGTCAATTTTTACCAAATAATCTCGGTGGTTCTAGTTTATTCTACATACCATCACGTTGTTCATCATTACTGAAAGATGATTATGATAATGATAATCGAACTCAGCATAACAATCATCGTGAGTCGAAATCATCCAGTGTAGTAATACAACGCACTAAATCATTGACTACGTCGGATATGGTTGATGAACAACAAGCTGGTGATCGAGATGTTGCGGATGATGACGCTGACGAGGATGAGGTGCAATATGAAGAAACTGATGAATTATTTGACAATATCAATAATGATCAATCAATTGTTGATCAACAGAGTTCATCAACGCAAACAACACGAAAACCATCAAGTACACTATCGAATGATGAGAAAACATGGAATAAAGAAATTTATGATTTAGCTATTAAAACAGCTTTATCAAAAACTGGCTTAATTCAATGCAATCATAATAATGAATTATTAAGAAGCATGCCAAGAAAACGTTTAAAATCTTATGTTCCATCACGATTGAATTCATCTAATCATAAAACAACAACAATGATGACACAATTATCATCTAAAATGTCAACATATGATGATACAATACAATTATTATTATTCAACAAACATTCTAATCAACAATCAATAAAAAATAAATCATTATTTAAAAAATTCAATCTCTCATCTACTATACCATATGATTTAAATAATATTATTGGTTTAAAAAATTGTCCCGGTTCAAAATGGCGGAATTTAAAAATTCAAAATTCAACAACATTGTCCAATATAACATTGGAAACAATGAAGAATCATCATTCTTTAGTGAATCAAAAAAGTTCCATTGTGATTGATTCGTTTATGTCAACATTAGGAATAAATAATAATAATAATATATTTTCATCAAATTTAAAACAACATGACATCAAATTGAAATCATCTCAACATGAATTAATCAATACTGGTAAATTGGAATTATTGGAAAAAGCAGAAGAATCGTTAACTACAACGAAATATCAAAAAGATCAGAATTATTCTACTGAACAAATATTGAAAAATAAGTGTTTATCAGCAATACATGCGGATGCTGCATCTGGTGGTCCATTTCAATCATATTTAGAAAGGTAGACGATTATTATTAGTATTATCAAAGTAGTGTATGTATATTTTACTTAATCGTCCTTTTGAACTTATTAATTGATATGTTGATACTGCTAAGATTTGTAGATAGGAAGACCGGTTAGGGTTAGGGTTCGTCAATAGGTACGCTTGAAGCTATTACGAGTTCACCTTAGTCGATAAACGCGACCGAGACAATTACCAGTGTCCAGGTTAGGCTACCTTGAATCCTAAGCTAAAGATAGAAGACTTTGTAAGCGTAGAAAGTATATTCTACAAACACCCAGCAATCACACAATACCATCAAGCACACAACTCTCGTTTATGCATACATCATAGAAACGTCCTTGAGACAGTTAAGAAAATAGCACATTAAAATACACACCAGCCAATCACAGCCATGGATTTTCCTGGTGAGAAATGTGTGATCTCAAGGTCAACTGATCAGCCCATGCTGGCAAACGTGAAATCCCAAATTAAGGCATTTATCAAGCGAGTTTCGGGGATCTAATAGCCCCAAAAACCAATGCACAAACAATTTCACCATAACATTGTGACAGAATTTCTCTTTTCATGACTACTATCATGATATTTAAATATGAAATACATTTTTTTAGTCATCTAAGATGGTATATTGTTATTCAGTGTCAACATCGTACTACTAAAATTCTTACGACGGACTGACTACATTACAAAATCCAGTATGGAGGATAGGGGACAAACTCGTTGCAAGTAAAGACCGATGAGAGTCAAAGTTGCTTACTGACAGCCTTTATATTTCTCTTACCTGTTGAGAACCTCAAAATCTTAAGGGAAACACGGAATTCATTGGGAAGCTCGGTTGCAGCTAGATGATTTGGACTTCACAGATTACCAAGTTCTTCTATCCCACACAGCAGGAGAAATGTAGCAGCAGCCTCTGCAGCAGTCGATGTCAACATATACAAAGGGGAAAA